ACATAAATCTATTCACTTACACGAATCACTTCCTCATAAGTTTCTTCGTTGATTTCTACGACTGTAATAGTTTCTTCAACGTCTCCTAAAACCATATTCAAATGACCATCATATGCCTATCAAATTAATAGATTATAACGAAAAATTGGTTAAAATAAACGGCCGTTATCCTGGTTGTTTAAAGGTTCGCTCACTTCACAAAAGAAACGGAAAAAGTAATAATACATGAAGTTTTCCACGTAATTCGCGATCGCCACGTAATTTCACATATATTCGTTCATCAAGCGATAGACGAACCAAATCTAGTGGTTCTTCAACTGCGTTTGGTTCAACGGGCGCGTTATGAGTTTCCTCGGTCATTTAGTGGTTAGAATAAATTTTCGAAAGTATATAGTTACTTTCGGACGCGAAATTAGAATCTATGCCCGGTTTGGGGGTCGTCTAAAGCGGTGCAGAATCACGTGATAATCGGCCAATCAAATTATAGAATTTTGACAACCCACCTAGTCCGCATATATAACTATCTAAAACCTACCTCAACCTTAATCTAACCCTAAAGTTAATTCAATAAAATATATATACGTATAGGAGGTATCCATAATTTACGTTAAACCAGTATTGTTATAAAATCTTAAAAGATAATGCAAAAATAATATTATCATCAAGATCTTATTTCTATACAATACAGTACTTAATGGTTTAACGTAAATTATGGATGCTGCCATACCTGGCTTTAGACGATCCCTATTTGCATCCACTTAATTTACTCAACCCAAAATGATGATTGTGTGCGATTAAGGACAAGTTATAATAATGACTATTCGCATAAATATAGCAGATGCGTATAAAGATTATTCATTAATTGTTGTATTTGATTATTTGACAAAATTTAATCTATCAATATGAATTATAACACGACACAGAAAAGTCTCAGGATTTGCTTCATAATTGCAAGCACGGGAAGTATAATGGCGCAGTTAAGAACAACTAGTAATAAAATTTTTCAAAAGAGAGTTGATCATTTACAAAATTTGTAAACTTGTACTTCTACCAATGTACTTTAATTAAATTTTTAAAAAAAGAACTTTGATAATAAATATATGTTATTTTATTATTCATCGAAAAAATTGAAAATTTTAAATCAGGAGGGTAATGTGGCAAATCGTCGTCCCTATTACTGTATTATAATGAACATAAATTTTCTTTAGCAAATAATTATTCAATACAAAACACGATTTTTATTAAGCGAATTGGGATTTCATCCGATATTTGCTGACAGCTTCTATTAACACGTGACATTACATATAAATATGTTTTATGATTGGCTGCTATTTACCCCGATCACAAGGATAAAAACGCGAAAATTTTAATTTTATATACCAACACTTACTTTCTTTCTCCGGCTTAACGAACCAGTAAGTTATCACTATCGCATATTCATATGAATTAAATATACCGTATTTAACTTTTTGAATAATTTCTTGGGAGGAACGCATATGGCCATGCGAGGGGGGAGCATGGTTGACATTCCTTC